GAAGCTCTTATTTTGATATATTATCTATGTTTGGGAAAAAGATTAAAATAGAAGTAAAATATTAAAAATATATCAAAATAGAAGTTCTGTGTTTTTATTCTCGAAATATGAGTTAAAATAAATTTCGTTGACCATCGGGTTGACCAATTCGACTAGTAAGGCCTTGACCCACTTTCTCGTTTGGGTCGACGTTCGGTCTGGTTTCCAAATATTACTGTAACGTGAATGAAATTTACCGCTCTATGCATTTCGAATTTGAATGTTTCAACTCTGTAACTGCAAAATAAATTTGATATTCGTTAAAGGAGTGATTCCTCTATTTGTTCGGTCAATTTGATTTTTTCCATGCTTTTGTACCCCGTACGCTTTAAAATGATTTTACCCACAGACTACTTTTAATGGACCATGCTAGGGTGCCACCATATGAGTTCTACCATGGGTGCATCCATGTTTCGCACAGACAAACACAGACGATAATTGTCTGTGCGACACAGACAATTATCGTCTGTGTTTGTCTGTGTGAAGCATGGGTGCATCCATGGTAGCACCCATGTGGTGGCACCCTAGCATTTTCCTGGTAAAATTTGAGTAAACAGATATGCATTCGTGCTAAAATAATTTACTTTTTTTTATTATCTCAGCATTTCATGAACTTTTGCTTGTTTAAATATTTTCATTGATATTTTGATAAATCAAAATATTTTTATCTTGTAGAATCTTTGATTTAATTTTTAAAAATATAAATTTTATTTCTTATTTATATACCAATTTTTAAATAAAATTATTTTAAAAATCACAAAATTTTTGACGTTGTTCGAATAAGGAATATGATTTTAGAACGCAACGTACAAACTTATGCTTCGTACTTTGATAAATCAATAAATCTCACTATTCTTTGTCTATTTTTGTGGAGTACTCTTATCTTTTTTACACCTTTTATTTTTTATGTAATAAAGTTAAGTAAAACTTTGTACAGAGTATATAAAGTGGCTAATTTTACTCTACACATCGTCCAATTCTCTGGGCTCACTAGAATTTCAACATCATATCAAAGTCAAATTCGATATGGGTCCGGTTTTTGGCTAGACTAGTTACCATTTGAATTTCCCCATTGGAAAAATTCAAGAAATCTAATTTTTATATTCAAAGTGATTAATTTTAATTGATACACCACCTGATTTTATCGATCGATCAAAATTTTTGGAAAATTTAACAATTAACATTTGAACTAAAAAAAGCACAAACAAATTGGACCTAGCATGCAACTGAAAGAACGGGACAGTTTTAGGGGCACTGACACCTACAATACTTCGATCACAAAATCGATAGTTTATACCTTCTTACCCCTAACCCTCTGCAGCCAATCGAAGACTCGATGCGCTAGGGGAGGGACAACTCGGGAAGGAAAAGTTGAGAAAGGTATGAAAAGAAAAAGGTGGACAACCTTATGATGTTACGAAATTTAATTTCCTAGTAGTATAATTTACCGACCAAATTAAATTTGGTCAATTTTTTTTTTTGACGGATTTCAAATGTGGACAATGTGGTCCACAACACTTTTTTTCAGAGTTGACATGAGTAGACCTTGTTTTCTTGCCAACAAAATTTAATAGTGAAAAAAAATTAATATTGAGAGACACGGAGTAATTTTCTTACACGTGTAACTTTTCAAATTTAAGAATTCCCTTTTGTATTTTTCTCTATAAAAAATTGTGAAAATTAAACTCAATTTTTGTTTTACGGAAGAGAAGTACCAAATTATTTACGGACTATTTTTTCCCCATCTATACACTCCATCGTTCCTAAATAAATTACACTTTATGTGAAATAAGATAAAATTTTAAGTCTTTTTTGATCCATTTTATTTGAAGGTTAGTATAAAAATAAAAAAACATGAGACGATAAAAATATTTTATTTTATCAAATAATCAATGAAAACACACAAATAAATAAATTTCTCGTAATTTTTGAATAATGAAAAGTGTAAATCATTACGGACGGAAGTAGTATTTTTCAATTTTATAGAGTTTTTATGAAACTTTTCAAAATGTAAATTAAATACTCTGTATTATTTATTATTTGATCTCTATATTTTAATAAATTGGTTTGAATGTAATTCTAAATTTCTAATAGAACATCCTAAATCTTAAAAGAAACGAAAAGGGACTCCCTTCTTTTGACAACAACAATTGTTGTTGTATTAATTATGACAACATTGATTACGAAAAGATTTATTATATTGCTAACGAAAATAGAAAAAAAAAATAAATAAAGTTTGACTCTGTGAATAGTGAACAGACATTATAATTTGGTATAATTTGGAAAGGAGGGAGTAGTTTTTAGGACACAAATGCACTCCATAAAATGACAATCTACTTTAGTTGGTTCTCTCGACACAGGAAGTAAGACTCACGTGCTGTGATTTGAATTTTGGACGTATCTAACCAAACAACTTAGACATCAAATTTTGGAATACTCCGTATTTACTTTAAAAAATATTTAAATAAATATGACTAAATTGTAAAATTTATATCAAAATAAAATTTATTAAATATGAACGGTCTGGTTCTAATGACATCGGAGAACGGTGCCACTCCGGTGCCACTGCATTTTTGGGGCACCTCCGGTGCTCCGTTCGTAAAATTAACGGTTCCTACCCCCCTAACTCACCCCCTAAACCCTCCACCTTACCCCCAACCCTGCACCCCTACCCCAACCCCGCCGTAAGGCCCCCACAAAAAGGCCCTCACAATACGAATATAAAGATTAGAGACTTAGGCATGTTTGGGAATAACGTAACATTATATATATATATATATATATATATATATATATATATATATATATCACCAAGGTTCCCATGACATTGGAATCCAATGTCATGGGATGACTCGGGGGCGCTCCGGTGCCCCGTTCATAAAATTGACGGTTTTTACCCCTCTAACCCCCCAGTAAATTGACGGGGGTAGGGGGTGTGTTCGGGTCGGGGCGGGGTGGGGAGGTTTCTCGGGGGGTAGGAACCGTTAATTTTACGAACAGAGCACAGGAGTGCCCCCGTATCATCTCCTGATATTGGATTCTAATATCATGGAAACCCACACATTCTAATATCATGGAAACCCACACTATATATATATATATATATATATATATATATATATATATATATATATATATATATATATATATATATATATATATATATATATAAACACACATACTCGAGGGCATAATATAAAGGCTTTCCAATTATTTGTGTCAAGTAATGGCCGAATTGAAAAGACAAGTAAAACCATATGGAATGCTTGCGCACATGCGAGCAGTATGTGTAGATTTTTGTTCATGAATACGGCAATTATTGAGCCATGCCATGCATGTTCCAATCAATCAAAGGGATCGGAAAATGGTTTGTTTTTAGACCATGACACTATATCACACTAATTTCATTACTCCTTCCATTCAAAGGCGCGTGAAACGTTAAGTTTTTTTCAATTTATTTTATTTAGTATTTGTATAAGAATAAAAAATGAAATTTACATATTTTAAAATTTACATGAAAAAATTCTTCAAAATAAGATGTGTCAATAATATTTTATTTTATCAAATAATCAATACAAATATATAAATGACATAAAAATTTTCGTGATTGTTGAAAAAGGAAATGTGGTATTCTTTTTGGAACGGGAGGAGTATCAAAGTTTGGTAATGCCAATTTTACACACAATTATTATTTGGACCGTAGAAATAATAATTATTTGTACATATCGTAAAACACATGTTGTCAAACAATGTACTACCTCGATGTCTCATTATTTGTCTTGTTTTAACTTTTTGTAGTAGAAAGATGGCAAATTTTCACTACTAATTAAATAAAATTGGTATATGATATAGATACAAAATAATTTTATTAGATACTCCGTATATTTTATGAAATATTTTCAAAATATTATTTTATCTAAATTATGTTCTATATAACTTTTATTTAAATAGAGATCAAAAGTTAAAAATACATAATTTACTGCAAAAAGTCAAAACAGAACAAATATGCAGAGACATAGGTATTATATATTTGTAAAACATGCATATGTTGTCAAAAGTTGGTTTTAAAATAGATTCATCTTTGTTTTTACTCTACCTGTATTGATTAGAAATATATTGAAAGCAAAGAAATGAAAAGATGTTTGGTGCCCACGTATATACTGATGTGTGGAAATGTAAATCATGCAAATATTATTAGAGACAAAATTGGTGTCATAATTTTTAAAATTTAGCTTGAAACACCGGCAGTTAACCTTTTTCGTTATTTTAATTATAATATTCTCTTTTCACGTACTTTAACAATAAGTCAAATCAAATAGATCTTTTCGCAAAATATTTATAATCAATGACTAGTCTCATAACTACTTTGTGCACAAAGGAGATGTGGGTATTAAAAGTGGGGGTATTTTCATCTTAATGCTGTCCAAAAGTTACCAAAGTGGAATATGGTAATTTACTTTGAAACAATAAAAATCAGGAATATTGTAATCAAAACAAAGACAGGGGTATCATTCTATTATTTGAAAGGCAATGTAAGGGGTATGTTTGGTTGGAAAAGAGAGGAGGAGAAAGAAATACTCCGTATTTTATTTTCCATATTTTATTCCCTTCAACTTGTTTGATTAAATTGGCAACACTAATTTCATGAGAGAGATGGGAGTATCATTTCATTTCATCTCAAGAATAATGTTAGTGTATTAAAGATTACTAATTAAAAAGCAAAAGAGAACAAAATAATGCATTACATTCCCACAAAACTCAACCTCAGGCTGCAAATATTCACCTTTCTTTCTTCTTCTTTTTTTACACATACCAAATCCAAGTATTCACAGCAGTAGAATGACAACAATAAGAGGAGAAATTGAATTGAGAGAGGTTTAACAACATGATATACACCTTTGGAATGTACACACACACACACACACACACACACACACACACACACACATATATAAGAGCTGAAGGATTAATCCTTTTTCTTCTTCTTCTTCTTTTAAATTAACTTAAGAGTGCAAAGAGGGGAAGGGGAAACTAATTAAAACTAGAGGGACTCAGCTTGAAGAATCTCAAGTTCAGCCCACCAGAGGGGAGAGTCTCTGGGAAAAGCAGCCTGGGGAGAGATGTCGCCGACTTTCCTCAGTTTCTCAATGACTTCTTTGATCGTCGGCCTCTTCCTGCTGTCTTGTTGCACGCATTCCTGGATCACCTCGCACACCGCGGCTAACTCTTCTTCCTTGAACGATTTCAATGTTGGGTCCGCCATTTTGCTCACACTTCTCCTGTCATTCATGTATTGTGCAGCCTGTATATACACAAACATGTATACATATATAACTCTCATCAGTATTGCATTACAGAGAGAGAGAGGGAGGGAGGGAGTGAGAGATACCCAGTTGAGAAGAGGGCCTTGTTCCTCTGAGAAAGGGAGTTTCCCAGAAACTATCTCCAACAAGAGAAGTCCAAAGCTGTAGATGTTTGTTTCAGGATCAGCAAGTGGTGGGAGTTCAGAATGCTCTTCGCCGTCCCCGCATTTCGACTTGGATGCTAGTTCCTCCCAGAAACTGATCTCCGCAATCTGTCGTAAAAAGGAAATAATAATGCCTTTCATTTTTTTAACAAGAATGAGAAAAAATGGGTTTTTGCATATTCGTAAGGCGAAGAAGAAGAACAAATTGTACCTTAGCAGCATAATCGTCGGTCAAGAATATGGTTTTAGACGTGAGGTTTGAATGAGACACAGGCGGAATCAAATCATGCATGTACTCAATACAATATGCAGTCCCCATTGCAACCCTCATCCTTGTATTCCAGTCCAGATGTTCAACTTCTTTTACTGAAACCCACAAACAATAATAAAGCATGTTATTATACCTACCTTTCTATTATTTAATAGTACTAATTTCTTACATAGGACTATTTTTTGTCCTTTCCAACTGCAAAATTGGCAAAAACATGCGCAAACCATTACTTTTTACGTATCATGTTTGAATTCGAGAAGCACGTAGAGATCCCTTATAAATAGGACACTGTTTCAGGGTGCTTTACACAGATAACTTTGGTAGGAAGTAAAAAAGTGTTACCATGTAGATGCTCAAAAAGGCTTCCATTTGGAGCATACTCAAACACCATCATTCGAGTAAAAGGCTCATCCTCAGAGCAATACCCAATGAGGTTAACGAAATTTTTATGGTTGATCCGCGAAAGAGTGTCAATCTGTGTACATGAAAAGAAAAAAAGTGAGCCTTTCCCATTGAAAACAGCAAAAAATAACTTTCCCAAACTAACCTTCTTTCTGAAAGCGTTCTCTGCGCGTTTGGACCAGTCTTTTAGAGATGTTACGGCAGTTGAAACCACGTTTATCTCCACCCCACTTGAAAGGTTTCCTTTGTACATTGTGAAAGCAGCATGAGTGGTTATAATATTGCTGAAATCTTCACATGCTGTTTCTAGCTCAGCTCTGTTCAGCTTCGGGACACCTGCATTTCGGGTGATATTTAAATAAAGATCCATACTTTGTTTTAGACAAAGAATAATGTAAGGGCAACTTGTAAAAAAGTGTGTCAATTTTTTTCACAAATAGAAAGTGCAGAAATTCAACGAGACGGCCCAACAAATAAAACTACACAATGGAGGAAATATTTCCCAAAAACATTTCCATACCTGTAACAAACGCTTTCTGCAACTGCCCACTCAATCCAGTTGTCCAAGGGCCAATGGACCTTGCTGCCCTGCATCTACAAACAAATATGATTGCCACAGCAACAATGAGGGAGAAAACTGCTGTGAAAATCCCAATCATATACTTCCATCTATTCCCAGAAACCGGAGGTTGATGGTCACTTTCTTGTTGGGTACCACTGGGATTTGTTGTGTTGTGGTGGTGTGGCGGTGGTGAAAGTGGCTGTGCTGGGGATTTTGCTTTCTTCCCGGCCACGGCAGGAAATGATCCACTACTTCTGTTGCATGGCTGAGTGATGAGATTACTCAATGCTGGGGACCCCACATTCGCGGCGGGTGGAGCAGCAATATTACTTGATTCTTCAAGCAACTTGCGCCGTGTGGGGTAGGGTCGATTCTCTAGAGTCTTGACCAAATGTGGTGTAAGTGAACCAGCTAATGCAATATTAATGAACCCACAGTTAGTACAGCGTCCTAAAAATCATTGCTTTTAAATTGCACCTAATCACTTATACTCCGTATAAAAGGATGATCAACACGCGAGATCAATTTCACACTAATGTTTCGTCCATTCTTTATCAACTGTCCATTTAGACTACCTTGATACATTGAAATATGAAAGAATGGAGACATAAGGTATGTCTAATTCATTTATTTTTTGATGTACCAAGAAACTCTTAATAGACATGGAATGGGGGGAGTATGCTACACTAGACTTGCCTCTCTTCTCCCAAGTCCCAAGTAAGGGGTAAGGTTTGCCTACACTTATCCCCAGACCCTGCTTCTTGTGAGATTCTACTTGGGTTTTTGTTGTTGTAAGCAACACTACACTCAAACTCAATAGAAAATCAACTTAAGATATTCAACTCAAAAATGAAATAATTCAATAAAAAAGGAATAGCTTGACTCACGTGGCAGCTCATTAGAGAAGAAGCGGGCATTTTTGTTCAAAGGTCCTTCTCCAAGACTGAAACTATAGCGGAAAGACAATAAATTTTCAAAATTGCAATGTTATGTAGGAAAAAATGGTGGAATGCAAGTTCATGTATTTAGTTACCCACAGTGATAAAAGGTTGAAGTAACTTATGATTGCCTTTTTCACAGGTGTAATCAAGAACTTTGCTTTCGTCAATGGATTCCAGCTGACATGCCAAATACTGTAAAAAACAACAACAAAACTACTTCCATTTCAATTGAATTAAGGATTCGTTCATTTAGTCTTTTGACTACACACTATTACTCAATTCGGTTCTCAGCTTTCTTTTAGACTCAATTTCATCACCGAAAATGTAATTCAGGACTCAGTTAGGTCTGATCCATATACTGCTCAAGTTAAGAATGGTAAATTGGTACATGTGTGACTGGATTTGAACCAAATTACATGGGGACAAATTGTGTCTGAAATTAGTTCTATATTTAGTGAACTCTAAATGGAGCAAAATATTTTTCTTGTTCATTACAGTATACGAATGGGGACTGAATTAGTAACTACTAACCATAGCCGAAGACAAAATTGAGTCCAAAATACAATTGAGTAATAGTGTATAGTCCAGGGACAAAATAGGGCGTGGGAACAAACAAACATATAAATACGGAGTACAAGTTACCAATCCCCAAACTTTCTACTAATGCAGCCAGTCCCTGAAGCAAACTCAGAAGTGAGATTCTGGTCAAATTGCATATCAGTTAAAAAAGCAAGACTCCCAATCTCTGAAGGAATGCTTCCTTCAAAGTTATTGTTACAAAGCAACCTGAGAAGGGAAAAAATGGAAATTCAGTTCAAAACCACATATGATTTTGATGCAACAAGTCCATGCTTGTGGTTGGAAACCAAGAAACATTTTATACTTTGACATTTTGGGACCAAGAAATGTGGGACCTTTAAGGGGGCAGAGAGAGTAATAACAAAGAACTCACAAGCTTCTTAGTAACTGCAGGCCTCCTATCTGTGCTGGAATGGATCCACTCAAGTTGTTATCCCTCAAATCCAAGACTTCCAACATTTCGAGTTGTCCAATTTCTTGAGGAATTACACCCGAAAAATGGTTCTTGGAGAGTACACTTCCATGCAATTAGACCGAAAAAACAAAAGAATAATGCATCGATAATTTATCAAAATAACTAGTGTGTTTGGTAAGCTTTGATGTGATTCAAATAATTGAGCATATTTTTATGCAATCACACTGCCTTTGTAAGATACACACCGATAAGCAACTCAGAACTATCTAATCACATTTGTATTTTGATGAGCATATAGAACCAATTCATAAAAGAGATGATGCTTACAGCATTTTCAAGTGAGAAAGATTTCCAAGTTTGGGTGCTATTGTTCCCTTCAGATCTTGCCCATTAAGGTCCCTAATAGATGGAGCAAACAACCACATCAACATTATCCTCTCAAAAGATGAACAACATACAAATATTCTTTCAGTTCAAATCTTAAATAGACCTCGGATCTTCTGTCCTGAATCAAAAGAGATGCAATGGAGTCTTCGAGGTCTATTTTAGAATTAGATGAGTGTTTGGTATAAAAAAAATTTGTTCATCACCCAAAATCTCTACAAAACATTAATTTGTTGGACGATAATACTAAAAAGAATTGGTAAGGCAGGAAGTACTTTTTCGATTGAAAATGCTAGGTTATACATGCATTTTTCTTTATCTTTCATTGGAATGGTACTTTAATATGATATGTGTGTTTCATTGCACTTGGTGCTCTATCCGTGTTATACTGTGTCCCCTTTCATATTTTTCTGCGTACACACACCCTCCCCAGATTCTACTGTAGTGGGATTCAACTGGGTTGTTGTTGTTGTTGTTATCAATGACACACACATATCATATTAAAGTACCATTCCAATGAAAGATAAAAATCAAGATGGAGCATTAGATTTTAGATCCAAAGGTTGTAAGTACTTCTATTTCGATGTATTAGACAATCACCTAGAAGTTATAGATTTTTATTTCATTGAGGTTCAAAAAAAATATTGAAAAAAATGGCAGCAATCTCATAAATAAACAGAGCATTTCAACCATCACAAAAAGTGGGCGCTACATAACATATAGTGCATGCGGCTGTACACAAGTGCAATATTAACATTCGTATGTTTTTTTGAGGAATCCCAACATATGTGTGTGTGTGTGTGTTTTACCCATCAATTTCAGTGATTTCATCAGTATGAGACACAATTTCAAAGTTTTTAGCAATTTTGTCCAAATTTCACCCAAACCAAACAGGCTCTAAATTGAGAGAATTTTAATCCGGCCAAATAGCATTGTTAGTCAGCAATTTTAAGAACAAGTGATATTTGGCCTATATGAAACACTCTTCAACCACCAAAAACCTTTTATAGCCAACAAAGACATGCAAACTCGAACATCTTATTCACATTATTCAAGAAAATCAGAAACACTGGTAGCAAAAAACAGGAACTTACAGCACTTGCACTTTACCGTCATCACAATGAATGCCGGACCACATACATGGGTCACAATTATCGGCATTCCAATCCTCAAGAACTCCATGTGGATCATATTCAACTCTTGCTCGGAATTCCAACAAAGCCAATCCTGATTATTCCGGAAAACCACAGCCAACATTCGATATTTTAAGACCCACTAAAAAGAGAGAGGATTGAATCACAATAAAAAGTCCAAACAGCTAACAAAATGAAGCTTTTACCTTCTGAGTTAAGAGAGCAACATCCATGGACATCCGCGATAAGAATCAAAAGGGCAAGATATGAGAATTGGATTCCATGAATTGTCCACTTACTGCCCATTGCTTTCCACGCCAAATGTGACTATTGTTGAGGCAGTGATAGGTTCTGCCAAAAGCTCTATTTGAAACCGCCAGCTTTTCCCCTTTTCAGACCAAAATGACCCTCCTAGCAACAGCCATAACTCGATAAGGCATTTACGAAACAAAAAAAAGAAGGAATCCCAAAATCCAATTATTACAAAGCAAAAACCAGATAGCAATCAAAATGAAAACTTTCAGCCTTCTATAACACATTCACCAAATTTCTGCCTCTCATTGTTATTATGCATATAAAAAGTCTGCGCAACAATACCATGCAATTCTTGTTATTGACAATTTATCCATGGTTCAATTCGGATGTGAAAATTCAAAAGAAAAACAAGCAAAATCAACAATTATGATGGAGCATGATTTCACCAGCAAACCCCAAAATATCTAAAAGCCAAAAAAAAGAAAAAGATCACAAAAGTGTAGGCTAAACATATTCACAAGCAATTTGCATGCAAGAAGAAAATGGTATTAAAAAAAAGTTACCATAAAGAAATGACAAAATGAAAGAATCCTCCTTTTCTGATGTTTGATTGCAAGATTACGTGGGAAGGAGGAGGTGATGCGTTGCTGGGAATGATCCAAAAGGACAAAGAAAGGAAAACAACGAGGCAATGCAATTGGGAATCGAACAGATTTTTGTTTTATTGTTATTATTATTATTATGGTTTTTTAATGTTCTTTTTTTTTCTTGTTTCTTGACTGCCCTTTCCAGGATGATCTCAGAGGAGGAGACTCTCTTCTTCGACCATCTTGTCTGAAACAGGGGAAGAAAGTGAGGGGAAAATTTTCTCTCTCTCTCTCTCTTGTTTTCTCTCTCTAGCACCCAATCTTCCCCGGGCAATGTTTCCTTCCCCAGTTTTTTCCCACGCTTTTCTGAGTTCTCTATATATTCCACGCACGTTCAATTATTTTTTCATACGGAGTAAATATTTTCTCCATAATTTATGGAGACAAATTGAGCAGAAAATTACCGTAAGACATCTTTGATTTTTGGAAAAATTATCTCAAATAATCCCACTTTTTCGCATTCTTTCAAAAATAATACCATTTTTCATTGTTACCGAAAATAATCCCACATTTCTGCATGTGTGCGAGTTTTGGGCCGCCGTTAAAAAACTAACGGCCACTTAACGGAAGTTTTAGAAAATGTCTATTTTTCGCAAAGAAATGAAAGGTGGGATTATTTTTGGCAAATTTACTTTTTTTTTAATTTTAAATTTAAAATTAATATTTTTAAAAATATAATAGTACACTCTTGTTAGAGATTGGTCTAACGATTTACAAATTTTGTTTTTGTTTTGGGAAAATATAATACTCGGTATTGAATTATCAAAAACAATTTAGAGTATCGATTAAGAAAGAAATTGCAATACAAAAAAATTGTAGTGAGTTATAAAAGTTATTAGTGCCGTTTCAGAGAAAAAAATATTGTGCCATTTTCAAATTGAATTATCAAAAATAATTCAGAGTATCGATTAAGAAAGAAATTGCAATACAAAAAAATGTAGTGAGTTATAAAAGTTATTAGTGCCGTTTTGGAGAAAAAATAGTGTCATTTTCAAAACTTTTGAATTACTATTTTGGGGGAAATTTGTATTGAATTAAAAAAAATCACAAATTGGGAAGTTCCATTTTAGAAAAAAATAATATGGGCAATAGTTGTGTTATAAATTAACAAAAAGGCAGTGACTATTCCTTTTCTCCTAAAGTGATCTTATATTTTTTGTTGTTTTTTCATTGATCAATTGTTTTCAGAGAAGTAATTATCGATAAAAAATTACACTTCTTATAACTACAACAGTAATTTATACGTTCAATTAAAATAAGAATTTTGAAACACCATTATTATTGATTTTATACAAGAATTTTAAAATACAAGTTTTACAAAATGTTTAACTAACGTTATGTACTTTTTTAACTTTATGTAGAAAAAATGTAGTGAATTATAAAAATAAAAGTTTCATTTTAGAGAAAAATGGTTATATAGAACTATCGAAAAATATTCATAAGTTTTGTAGTGCCATTTTTTTAAGAAATAATAATAATAATAATATAGTATCAAAAAACAATTTGAAGTGTCACTCAAGAAAAATAAATGCAACCTACAAAAAATGTAGTTAGTTATGAAGTAAATAAATTAGCTCTATTGTGTAGAATACTTTATTTTCTAATTATTACCAGATTATCGAATATTGAAAAATAATTAGTTTCACTCTAAAAATATTTAAATTTGGTATTATTTTTTGAAAAAATAAAAATAAAAATACATTTAAATTTAAAATTTGAAATTAAAATTATGAAAAAGAGAGAAATTTCCTGAAATAATCCCACCTTTCATTTATTTGCAAAAAATGGGCATTTTTCAAAAATTCTCTTAAGTGACCGTTAGTTTTTTAACGGTGACCCAAAACTTGCACACGTGCGGAAAGGTGTGATTATTTCCGGTGAGAGTGAAAAGTGGAATTATTTTTGAAAGAGCGCGAAAAGGTGAGATTATTTGAGATAATTTTTCCTTGATTTTTTGGTAATAACTTTGTCAAATTTACATTAAATAATACCAAAACATATTTACTTTTTCAATGTAAGTACATGGACTTTTTTATTTTCTAAATAATACTCCGTAGTTGAATAATGTCTAGTGGCGGGAACAATGTTTTGTAATGTTCGACATTCATTTTGAACAATGTCTAGTGGGAGTGTACATTTAATTGGACAATGATCAGTTGACATTGAACAGTTGTACTACATTTGTAAATAAAAACACATGGTACTACATTAGGAAAGTCACTGTATTTTAGTAATATTTAGATAAATTCTCAATAACTTACAGGTTTTGCATTATCTTAAATATACTTCAGGGGCCCTTACAATTAGTGGTAAAATATTGTGGGGTACATTCTTCTATTTGACCGTTAGGATTAAAAGCTATATACTTTGGCAACTACTAAATTTTAACTTGATAATAATTATTTTATTAAATTTAAATAAAATTATTGAATTTGTCAAATTAAAAGAACTTTCAATCTTAACGTCTAAATAGATGGAATGTACCTTTCGAGTATAATATCACAAATTTTAAGGACATCGGAATATATTTCATATAATGTAGGACTAGAGAATTCTTGCCAAAAAATAGAGAATATCTTAGAGTATATTTTAGATGATGTAGAACCTGATCGTTATTATCGGAAAATCGAGGGCACCCACATTAATTTTTTGCAAACTAAAAGTATAAGACCAGGTGTGTGATTGGATCACCATCTCTACTCTCATGTCAGCTTTTTCCTTTTTCATTTATTTCGTCCTCTTTCAACCTCTCACTGACAAGTTTAGACATGGGTCGATTCTGGTACAGTTCTACTTCCGGAACCACCGATTCTGGCACCTCCCCTCCCCCATAGTCGGCACCCGCCTACCCAGTACCGACATCGGTTCCAGAACCGGCGGTTCTGGTTGCAAACTACTTTTCTAGTTCTATTTAACTTTTTCATTTTATAACATTATATATTTATATGTAAAATAATTTAATCTAAAAATGTAGTTATTTGAATAATGAAAATTGGATAGTACAACGAAGCAGGTTATAAATCTGTTAGAGTGCATCCCACATTGGAAAAGTGATAAAGAAATAATTGGTATGTATAAACCCTTGAGTTAAATTAAGTAACCGATTGAATTCAATCACTAACCTAAAAAAAACTATTTATAATTCAAGAAAAAGTAAGTTATTTGTCGGAATTACCACTTCGTATTGTGGTTGCATCCATGTACTTTAGTGTATCTATGTCGTAGTTTGCCTCTTGTGCTTGACGCATTGCCAAGAGCCAACCTCGGTTGCAAAGAAGTGTCTCCAGTGATTCAACGACGCTAAGCAAACTTCAAAAGTCGGTTAAAATGTTGTTACTAGAACTGAATTCTTGATTCATAGCTACAATTGAAATTGGCATAGATAGCACATGTCTAGCTAGCATTTTGAGTGACGGGAACATGTGTTCATTCTACTTCCACCAGACGAGGACATTGAACTCGTTGTCGTTGTCTTCAGTGCAGCCGCTTGGGATATCTTGGTACATCAAAAGTTCATTGTGCGAACTGATTGTTGTACCACCTGTACTTGTAGAGGTACTCTTGCCTTTTCTCGCCAACAGACCACCAACTATCCTTTTGAAACTTTTCTTTGTCTTCGGGGCAGAAGGAGCTGTTGTTTCTTCTGAAAGAGTAGCATATCAAAATTTGAAATTCTTATATAAATAGTCAAAAAGGATAATAGCATTGATTCTTTCTTTCGTCCACTCTAGTAATTGTTCATAATAATAATAAATTTTATCTAAAAAAACAACTACAGTAAAAGTTTAAGGAATAGTTGTTAAATTTGTTTAAGGAATATAATTAAATTTGTTAAACAAAATATAATAAAACTAAATTTGTAATTATAAACAAAATATGATATTTTAAAAACCCTAATGTAAACAATACAATTATAATAAAAAAATAAAAAAATAAAAAAATTAATTCACAAATAGAATTTGAATAAGAGATGAAAAATTGAAAAAAAAAACCTGGGATGAAGAACCGACGATGACCGGACGGCAAGGAGGACCGGCGGTTGATGGTGGCGGGCGGAGACGACGAGCGGACGGAGCGGCGGAGGAGATTCGACGACGATTTGGACAGCAGACCTCAGACTCCACTCGGCGGCAGACCCTTTTCTTTCTGTCTGTCGGTGAAACTGACTAAGGAAGAGAGTATAGATCTGTTTTTGAAGCGACGGAAAGTAGCGACGGATATTATTATTGATTTATAATAATATAATATATTTATAATATATGAATATAGCATATAAAAGTATAAAATTATAAATATAAATATAGAGATTTAAACTTGGGGATTGAGAGACTTCTTGAGTAGTGGATGTTTAAAAAAACGCCGGAGTTCACCTGACATTTGGTTTAAATGTCCTATGGTATGACAATTTCAATATCAACCCTTGGATCTAATACCTTTTTAAAACAATGGTGGAGATTTAATCATCACTTAGATCTACCTCACTTAAAATTAACGGAGCCCCCACCCACGCCGTCTCCTGCATCTCTCGTCTCTATCGATTCCTATCCTTCCCTGCAATCTCTTCGGCGACCGGCGACGCCTTTCTCCCGGCGGGATTGCATCTCTCACGACGAGGTAAGTTCCCCACACCCTCTCCTCCGGTTTGAATTTCCTTCGAGATGACCCAAATTTCTTTAACCCTAATTACTTCCCCACCCCCTCTCTGGTTCTAATTCAAGCATCACAAAGCTTTTATTTTGATTTTACGAGCATCACAAAGCTTTTATTTTATGGATTAGGGAACCATCCAAAGTTCAATCCAAATTTCATTTTTTTCGATTGGGAACCATCCAATTTTGATTTTATGAGCATCCAATTTTTATTTATTTCAATTATAATGCACGTTAATCCCCCAGCGGCTATCTAGAACAAATTGAATATTAACATTTCCTTTCTCTTTACTTTGGTTTTATCTTGAGGTAGCGTTAATCCCCCCCAGTGGCTTTATCTTTTCTTTAATTTGGCTTTTCTTAAATGACTCAAATCAGTTTCGCTTAATTGAGGGAAAGTCATTATGTTCTAGTGATATTTAAGTAAATTCCTCATTAAAGTGGTGCCCGCCTTGGGTTTGACCAAAGGCAAAAAATGGAACCGAAACTGAATACGGAATTGCCGTTATCTCCCCCAGGACAGGACCCGTATCCACTGGTTCCGAGCACGTACGGTTCCTCTACCGACCGCTGTCTCACTCGAAAACCGAACCTGTATCCACCGGTTCTCGAAAGCGCCGCTACCGGTACATGTTCAGAACTGGAACCGTATCCAACCCTACTCACGAGTGCGAATCTATAGACTTTGTTTTCGCAGCACAAAAATCCCCTTGTGAAATCTGGATCTTCTTACATTTTCATGACATTTTTCAGGAATAAAAACATGGAACTCCTATATATTTTAGTATATTTTCAATGTTTTACTCCTGCTTTAATCTTTTTTCTTATTCAAAATGAATTCAAGGGCAACAACTTAAACTTTGAGAATTTCGAACTCGATGTCGTCTTCCAATTTGCAAATTATGCTAAGCATGTTATATTTTTCCTTTTATGTAGTATCTCGTGATTTAATGTTGTATTCGCTTATTTTTATTTTTTAATTGTTATAATCCTTTTCTAATTTTTTAAAAAATTATTCATCTTTTTTTACTTAAAATAAAATTATGTATTAAATTTAAATAAGTTTTGAATAAAAAATAAAGAATAATGTAAAAGAAAGAAAGAAGCATGTTTTCAGGGCGACAAGCCGTTAACTCTGCATGATTTTGGGACGGAACTGAAAATCAATGAAATACTGATGTGGCAGTAATTGTGCGGGGCAGAATTGCTCTCCATTGTAAGTGCTCTTTATACTCTACTCTTGATTATACCATTGGGCTAGATACCCTATAAAGAAATCACCTCAAATAAGGTAAAACATAGAGTAAGTACCAAAATAGAAGTTCCGATCTATATTTTTATTCCATAAATAGAAATTCGCAATGTGCTAATTTGACATTGTACCGACTTGAGTATTTTACTATGCTTTTGCGTAATATACATGGTCATGATTGATAATGTAAATGTAATTTAACTCTTATTTCGAGAATAAAGCATGTAACTCTTATTTTGGTATATTTTTAATATTTTCCTCTTATTTTAGTCTTTTTCTCTACTCAGTAATATGTTATCTTGAGAGAGTCTTTGCTAAAGTCTATAAAGGAGTCTTTGAAATCTCAAAGTAACTTCCAAGACCCTCAAATCAATACATCCAATAATAAAAGGTGGATACGTGTAATCAATAACAATTATTTTTAAAAAATAAAATTAGTGACAATTATTTTGTAAAAACATTAAAAAAAGTTAAAAATACTCAGGATTAAAAACCCTAACACATACTCCCTTCGTCCCCCAGTTTTTGTCCACTTTTGACTTTTGGAACTGTTCATCTAAGCACTTTGACTCATCAAATTCTCTCAATGTGTAAGCCTAAATATAGTCATGTGTGATCTTGTTTGATTTGTCTTACCATATAGATTATTAATATATAATTTCTATAATTTTTTAATATACAAATTACAAGATAAAATGGATTAAAGAAGTGCATTGGATGATGTGCAAAAATGAAAGTGAACAAAAACTGAAGGACGGAGGGAGTAAAATTAAAAACATTACATTTGTTGTGCTTTTATTTTTATTTTATGGAATTTATATTTTTGTACGGAGTATAATTTAAAAAATGTCACTTCGTATCTAAAAGATATTGTGCAATTTTATGCAATTTATGTTTAAAAAATGTCATGGTAAAACGTTATGCAATTTTATCCTTTTATGCTTTTATTTTTTGCAATTTATGTTAAAATATTTAAAACAACCAACAAAATTTGTCGTGCTTTTATTTAATTTATTATGTGTAACAAAGTTATATTACATACCCCGTATCATTTACTTTAATTTTACTAAATATAGAGTACTCGACAACGTTTTATCTTGTTGAATTTGGCCTTGTTTGGGAACATCATTTTCGATTAGCGTTAGTGTTTTGGATAAAATCTTAATGATTTAGATTAAATTTGAAAAAGATACCGCTAAAGTCTACCGTCAGATTATCTTTTCAAAATGCTAACGCTAATAATCTCCAACGTTGATGCCAAACAGGGCGTTTATTTTTAAAATGGTTAATCACATTTATAAATAAATTTACTAGAAAAATCAATTAATTTTTTTCTTTTTTTAAACTAAATTTCAATCGCTCATGTTTGTTGGGCATGATGGTTATCAAGTTGCCCTAAATTGCTAAACATGCTGAGGTACAGCTTTGTTCATGGGAGTTGAACCCCTATACTTTCTTGCTTCCGTTTTGATGAATTAATAAAAGAGTAATTTATCTAAATAGGACTAAAACATAATGACTTTCTCAATACAAAATTATATGTTTTTATTTCCCAATGTATAATCATTGATCATTATTCAACTAAATGTCCAGCATTACTTGAACATTTTTCTTCTCAAATGTCATTATTAAGTCTTATTTAGAGAATATAAAAATGTTTAAGTCCTATATTAGAAAATGACTTATGTTTTAGTCTTATTCAGTGCAAATTTCACTTAATACAACACTTGAGCATTTGCAATGGGTAGCAAATTCCGCCGCACCGCTTGGATTTCTAGGCATGTCGCGGCAGTAGTCCATTGCATTTGCAGGAGGAGGGGTGCTTTTTCAGCCGGGGCGCTCAGCCGGGCTGAACTCCCGGTGGAAAATCGTGGCGGCTGTCCACTGTAGCGATCCGTCGCGTCCCAATATGATTTTTTTATTTTTCAACCCTGTAAATTAACACATCTTTCACTTCAATCCATCCACACTCATCCCTCTCAATTTACCTCTATTCTTAATTTTTCTTCATCTTTCTCAAATCACAAAAAATAGTTTTTCCTAGAAATTATATTAAAATTTTAATTATATTTTGGTATATTTCATCTTTTATCTCAATATTGTTTTTAATAAAGAGTGTCAATCTTAGCATTTTTAATTTAATTATATGTTTTTTTTAAAAAAATTGAAATTAAAAATGAAGAAAAATATACAAAAATGAAGAGGCCAGTTTTCAGGGCGATAGTATTAAGGAATTTGGGACGAAACTGAAAATTAGTAAAATAATGATGTGGCGGGAGTTGGGTCGGGGTGAGATTCCTTCCCATTATAAATGCTCAAAATACTTTCAAACATGGGTGGCCCGGAGGGTGTGCAAAGTGGCTAACCGCACAAGGTCTCTAAAATTTTAAAGCCCCATATTTTAAAATTCATCATAAATTTTGAAACATAAGTATTCTAAAATAATAAAATAGAGCCCAAAATGTAAATTTCAGACCGGACCAATTTCATTTTTTCATTTTTCGAGACCGCCCTCGCTCAGTTTCAACATTCAAAACATAATGCTAAAAAATGTGAAAAAAATGGTGCTCTAATGTCAAATCGCATGCATTTCCCAATATTACCGTTCCCATTTATGTGATAGAAGCATAAAACATTTTATTTTAATTTGCATTTCATGATTTAGTTTTTAATATTATTTTACATTTGTCATTATATTTTTTAATTTTAGGCTAGAAAGTTTTAAAAATAGTTTTTTAAAGGGAATCATTAATAAATTTGCATGGACTAACAAAGCCACTTAAGTTCAAAAATGAGAATTGATGAAAGTCCATGCAAATTTATTAATGATTCCCTTTAAAAAAACTATTTTTAAAACTTTCTAGCTTAAAATTAAAAAAATATAATGACAAATGTAAAAAAAATTCACCTGAATAATATTAAAATCAACTAACTTTTAAAATATAGGAATACACTTTCAATTGGACATTCAACTGCCAAACAATAAAAAATCAAACAACTAATCACCAACTCTAATGCATACAACTAATCTTTAATCTCTAACTCTAAACTCTAGCGATGTTCCTTACATGCCCAACATTATACGGATCATATCCGAATTCAAAACATATCATGTCAAACACGAACAATAATGAATTTTTTAACCAAAATTAGAGTTTTCTTACATATTTATTTGGATAGTCATTTAATTGAGACATTTTCAACACTTTAATTTTTCTAACATTTTCCAACTCTTTTTAGTTTTTTTTCTTAATCTTTTGAGTTTTTTCTAAACTCCTTCCAATTTTTTCTAACTTCTAATTTTAAAATTAAAACAAAAAAGCACATGACCTGCGGTGGGGTTCATGATATGAACCATATTTTTTCTTTGCCCATTGCCCTTTCCCGAGTGAGGTCCACTAGAAAAGGTAAAAAAAGAAAGGGATCAAACCTGGTTTTCCATTACACCATTAATGTGTAGAAAGGACGTATAGTGCTGGGGACAGAAAGGAACTCCCCAACCATAATCTCCTCCAATCAGAGAATCGTTGGAGGACACCAACCCTCCAACCAGCTTGGGTGTGTCCTACACTCCTACCCGAGGGATCACAATAGGACACCATGGAGATTAAAGAAACGATTTTGGACCCCAAAAAAATAACAATTATGGAAAGGGGACAAACGCCCCGATCCCCATCTCTTTCAATCAAACAATCAAATGAAAAATTGATGTGAACCTTTCAAAACAGGAAGTCATTGTCAGTTTATCACACAAGTCTAAGGAACCGTTTGGATCCTTGAATATGAAAGGGAAAATATATAAGGAGGGAAAGTTAGAAGGGGGGGGCCGGGGGGGGTGTTTTTAGCTAAACTTAATAAATCAATTTTAGGAGCTGTGTTCTTTTGACACCAAGGGCCAGTGTCATAGTATGACATTGGCACATCAAGTGAAGTACTTTCAAGTCCTCAAATGATATGAGTGTCATGAATGGAACCCAAACACAATTGTCTTTACTTCCTTATGTTCAAACTAGTTTTGTTCATAGAAAAATTGCCAAGAGTATTATTATAAAGAGTTTAGAATGGAATACTTTCCAGGAATTTTCACATAATCAACCATGGCCTAAGATGGTCAAATTCAACCAAACTTAAACTACACTCAAAGAAAATGATAGCAGGTGGCCAAACTTGAACTACTCTTGACTAGTCTCACCACACATCTTTCCTCCTCCCTCATCTTCATCTTCATATTAAAAAGTGAACGAATACGGGCATACATTATGTCCACGTTTATTTGATTCTTAATGTATACAGATAACCATTATAGACTATGGTTTAAACCTAGGTGAAAACTACGGTCCTAGAATATTGGTCTCGTGCAACGACAAGTCGACAACCTATTATATTGCTCCGTACATGCTTAAGGAGTTGGGTTAATGACACAATTTAAAAGGCTCTTATAATATATGCCGGGTTGCTTAACGATATGACCATCATTTGTTTCGAACATATAATGGTTAAAGAATTTGTTAAAGAAGCAAGCTTTGGTAGAATGACAAATTCATTTTCTTCAGTGTTTGTATAACCTATCTAAACAGGTGCAAAGAACAAAATTACATCAACTTAATACACATAACCATGGGAGGGGCAAAGGCCCACAACAAGAAGTATATAAAATCTTAATTAAAATATACTACAACAGAAAGAAGTAGAGAGCATTAACCTTTGTTTATTCAGTATCTGATGGTACATGTGAAGAAGAATCAGATGAGTCTTCAATGGAGAGGTTATGTAATCTGGGCTTCAATTCTTGATTGCAGAACCTTTCAAACTCAACCGTATCTCCTCCCTTCTTCTTCACCTCCACGACTCTCAAAGAAGGGGTTAGTTCGAATATCTCTGCAGCTATGGTTAATGGTCCTTTTGCACCTTCCTTAGTCCCCTCGAGACTAACCCTACAATCCTTCTTCCTCACCGAAAAACTCACCACTTTCGCAATCTCTTCCAGCTTGTTTATGATCTTGTACACAGGCGCTCCGGAGATGAGCCTCACGCCATCTCCCCCTTCCTCAAACAATCCGGAAAGATCAAAACCGGGTGAAAAGGAGATGATGTCAAAGGCGTTCAAGCTAGAAGGTCTAGGTAAGCCGGTTATCCTCTTCCTGCTCTCCATCTCAGATTCTGATTCTGACAAATCAGACGAATAATCGACTCCTTCGTCCAAGATACTACACAGCTTGTCATCCTCTATGTAAAACTTGACATCCTTAAACCCCTTCTTGAACCATCTGTTGCTCATTATCTCAGGGATGGTTATCCTTGTCTCTGGATTGGTATCGAGCAATCGAGAGAGAAATCTCGTTAATTCGGGGGAAAACCATCTAGGGCATCTGAATTCCCCTCTGTAAATCTTCTTATACATGGACATGATGTTCTGGTCATGGAAAGGTAAATAGCCAGCCATTAGAACAAAGAGAATCACCCCGCAAGACCATATATCTACCTTCGCGGCATCGTAGCCCTTCCTGGCCAATACTTCTGGGGCAACGTAAGCTGGAGTGCCGCAGAACGTGTGAAACAGCCCGTCCTGTTTGATCTGCTCAGATATGGCGCTCAATCCGAAATCGGAGACCTTCACATTCCCGTCCTCGTCCAACAGTATGTTTTCCGGCTTCAAATCGCGGTGATAAACGCCGCGGGCGTGACAGAAGGCGACGGCGGAGATCAATTGCTGGAAATACCTCCTGGCGTCCTCCTCCTTGAGCCTCCCCTTGGCGACCTTGTTGAACAACTCGCCGCCCCTGACATACTCCATGACGAAGAAAATCTTCGATTTCGTGGCCATGACCTCGAGGAGCTGGACGATGTTAGGGTGGCGGACGCGACGGAGGATCGAAACCTCGCGCTTGATGTGAGCGGTGAGGCCGACTTTGAGGATCTTCTCCTTGTCGATCACCTTAATCGCGACGCCCTCGTTCGTCTTCACGTTCCTGGCGAAGTAGACCTTCGCGAAGGTTCCATGGCCGAGGAGCTTGCCGATCTCGTACCGATCCAGTAAAAGCCCTCCCGGACATTCCTTCTTGCTCGAGCTTCTCGCCGCGACGGCGGCCATGGGCGGACAATCAACCGAACACGACGCCGTCTCGGCCGCCGGAAAAAGGCAGATCAGTGTTTTACCTGGTGTAAAAAAGAATGATTAACGGGTAAAAAAGAATGATTAACGGGTAAAAAGAGTTGGGGAATGGATGCTTGATTGGGCGCTTATATAAGAAGGTCGGTAATGGGTGACTTGGGACAAAGACGACTAGTTCCTAAAGGAACATCGCTTATTTCTCTCATTATTACGTGTCCAAATTCCAAAATCCCCTCCAACATTGTCTTTTGCTTTATTTTGATTTTTTTTGATATCAAACTCATTCTAATTCTTTTTTATATATTTTTGTCAAATATTTAATAAAATTAAATAATACCGAATCACTTGTTTTCTAGAAATTTTGATATAATGTTAAACGTCGAAAACTAGACAGAAACTTTTTCTTAAATGATGTAAGAAGAAGAAGAAGTCTGTCTCGTTGTCACTACTGATGCTATGTTTCATTCTTTGTCGTTAGTTCTTCGTTGTTTCGAGATGAGTATGTGGACATCTAACACTAGACTATACGCATATGTTTGAAATTTACGTTCATAATTTTGTTAGATTGATTTCTGTGAAAATTTGTACCTTTAGGAAAATTAGGTTATTGATGATTTAATCGGGTAGAACGCATGATTAGGTGTGAATTGATCAATTGTTTGTATATATAATACTTATGAATGATGTTGAATTGGTCTATGTGATGATTGGTTCAAATTGAGGTAAAAAAGATGGATTTTTTGATGTATGCGGCCCCACTAGATTCATTTCAGGACAGGCGGTAGTACGCGACCGTACGGTGGTACGTTAGTACCGTTCTGAAGAGTGTTGTTGCATTATTAGTATTCATTTTAAGTGTCAATTATGTATTCTGAGAATTTGTATGTTGTATGATGATAATAATGGGTGTTAGACTTTGTATGCTAATGAAAATATGGAAAGAAGATGAATGAAGTTTGACCATTGATGGGAACCAAGCCCATCGAGAGAATACTAGCGAATTGGGCCTGGGCCCAATTTAGATTCCGTCCATCAAAAGGAGTGTCCGACCCAGAGAAAATATATTGGGCCAGTCAAAGGAAGTTATCCGTGAGAAAAGATAGGAAAAATGAAAAGGATTGGGGGCTTAAGAATGGGCTGAAGCCCAGCCCACTAAGAATAAGCTACCCCAAAAGGAAAGAAATTGTATGGAAGAGTCTAGAGCAGTCCCCCCTAATTGAAGGGACAAGGACAAGAAGAAAGGGACGGACGGGGAGCAAGAGATGGACGGACAGGCTTGTCCTCCAGTGGACGGCCTCAAGCTGAGATACATCCCCCCAGATGGAGGAAGGCTGGCACGAATATTCCCCCAATCACTGCCATTATTGGAGAGGATGAGGGATGGGGAGTGCCTATAAAAGAAAGAGGGACTTGGGGAATGGAGGATATCTTGTAATGAGGGGAGAAAATACGTGAGTAAATAATAAAAGATATTCTGGCGATCCTCAAGCATATTCCGTTCCTAAGAGGACCGAATAAGTGAGCAGTGCTTCTATTACTATTAATTATTATTCTCGTATTATCTTTCAATATTATAAGGCCCGGATACCTATATTTGGACCTAGGCCGATCTACAGTCCTTGGGAAAATATTGGGTATCCATCACTGGCGCCACCCGTGGGACCGATTGAAGCTTCTCAACCTTCTCGGGAGTTGATAGCGAGCCTATCTCACTCTTGTTCACTCGGAAAGACCTCTTCCTAGACCTAGGGAGAATTAGCGGTCCATTCCAAGTGAAGGAGATAAGTTCGCGGTCCACCCAGAAGGACTCCTCTTTTTAGTCGGTCCATTGTTCAAAAAAAAAGAGAGTGAAAGGAGGACCGATCTTCCACAGAGGACCGCATTTATCAGCCGGTCATACAGGAGGACCGATTTCTTGCTCAGGGGCCGCTATCTCCCGTTGGTCCGCCTTTTTCATCAAGTAAAGGTTTCCAACTGTTACTATGGGCAAAAATCGGTCCAAGAGGAACAAAATTGCTGCTAAAGCGCGAACCAACTTGGAAGGGAAAGAGAAGCTTTCATCTGGGGATCTCAGACACCAAATAACTCTCTCCCAATCCAGGCGTGAAACACAAGACAAATCTGGTGAACGCAGTTTCCACTCTAAAGCCCCTAAGAGTTCTCATCCAAAGGATTCCCAGGCAGCAGCAGAAAAATTCGACGCCAACTCCCCCATAGTTCGAAAGTTGATCGGGTGGCTCAACAAGGAAGGAGAGGCCCGGTCCCAAGGGACCGGGAGAGAAACAGGTCAAGGAGAGGATGAGGAGGTGGAAAGTCAAGGGCGCATATCAGTACATAAGAGGATGCGCAAAAATGCGTCCCAAAGGTTAGGACCCAGGACTGAGGAATCTGGAGAAAATTCTGGGGGGCACGGCAATGAAGATGCCGGAGACATCCTCAAATTGAGAAAAGAAATGGAGGAACTAAAGAGGCAGGTTGACAAGGACGGGTCTTTCGGGCCCACAGTAGAGATAATTTCTCCCTTTACTGCCAGAGTGATGAAAGCTCAACTGCCCAGGGGTATGAAAGCCCCTGAAATCCGTTATAAGGGAGTCACCGATCCCAATGATCACTTGGCTGCGTACCAAACTCACATGTTGATGCACGCCGTGGAGGACGAGATCCAATGTCGCCTCTTCGTAGGAACCTTGGAAGGGCCGGCCGTAAAATGGTTCCTCACTCTTCCTAATGGGACCATTGATTGCTTCAAAGATCTTGCTCAACTTTTCCTCAACGCCTATGGAGGAAGGTTCCAGCCAAAAAAGCACTTCACCCATCTTTTCTCCCTAAA